ACACCTAATACTGTGAAAATTCTCAATAAAGGTTAGCTATCTTTGTAATTTCTTACTGCACTTATTTATTCTAATATATATTATAATATATGTTAGTAGTGACATAATTCATTTAATCTCATTTATTTACTTGTGTAGAATTTAATTTTGGGACCCGGTCGACGCATGAATGCGTAAGGATACGACGGAAGAACAGCGCCAGTCTCCTGACTGGCATTAAGCTGAGTCGTGGCCTTTTCATGGTTGCATACAACACATTGTATATATAAGCTTATTATTTAATTTTAGGTTTCACATTTTCCTCCTGTATTTTATTTTGCTTGTTTTTGTAATTGTGTTTCTATTTTTGGTTATTGTGTTGTATGTACTGATGAATAAATGTTTTTCTATTCTATTCTATTCTATTGGTACGAGTTCGACATAACCCTCGCCTTCCCGAACGAAGGGAGTCCATGAGGATTTCCTGACGTAAAAATGAGAATTATACTCGACTTCGGCTTATCCCAAAAAAATAAATTAAAATTTAAAGCGGTAAATCGAAAATACGCCGCTTTGAAAGAAACTACCTTGTATCTGTTAAGACAGTTAGTCACGAGATGAACGGTATGTACGTATGTTGTGTGTATTAAAATAATAGAATTGATCCGAATACCGTTTAATTGATCTGTGATATTCCATCGATAAGACCGTCGGGGGCGTAAGCCGATGCAATCTTGGATGCTTTGTGGCTTCAGTACCGTTGTTGCGAATTTACTCATGCCTGATTATCGGTAAAGAAAATTACATTACCGTATCTTACGTGATAAATCATTAGTTAATTATATTTGGTGTGTTGCTTCTGGTCAACAAAAGTGTACCTATATAAGAAACGAAACCATTCGTTCCAATGTTTTTTTAATATGATACGACGACGATTAAGAAGTGCGTCTGCTGGCAAGCGACACGCCTGTCCATAGCTGTTGCTGTATCTGACTCAGAGTTTTAAATCGAAAATATCTAGGAAATGAAACTATTTTTCCGGATTTAAATCGCGTATATTTGTTTTTTCAGACAAACCGACGTTTCGGGCCCTTTACAGGTCCCATGGTCACGGTTGACTGAGGTGGTACAGTCTTCAACCAGTTATGTCTAATATAGATGCAAACCACCCTATTTTTTCACTATAGTTACAATAGTTATTAATTAAATACCTTATTTTTAATTTTACAAAGAAAACATTCCAATTTACGCTACATTAAGTTTTACAAATTATTTTATTGAATGAATTTTTATTAAGTTTAGTTTATTATTAATTATTAATAGAAATTAGAATAAACTAAAACATATTAATTAGTACTGCAGTCTTATGTCTGTTTGGGATTTTTCATTAGAGGAAATACTGGATCCCAAACTGGTGGTACGGAGAAACCAGGAAAATCTGTTGAAATTAGGACGTTTTTTAATTTCAATGGCCTCTCGCAGCATCTTGGGCAGATAACGGACTTCTTTTGCAAGGACCTGGGGTTTGTCAAACTTCATTAAATGTGTAGATTTATCCATGACATGCTCGCAGACTGCAGACTTGTTTACGCGACGATTATGATTTAAATCCGGAAAAATAGTTTCATTTCCTATGGGTAACAATCACGAAAACCTAAGAATTCGAAAATATCTGTCAATATTTTTGAGAGGAGCACTGCTATTGCGCTCTTCGCCTAAGACTTAAGCTGACAAGACCCATGTGCCTGCAATCTCACCAACACCCTTACGCTTCAGCACCGAAACGCAGAAATGCTTAGATTAAATAGCTAAGGTGCCAGTATTTCCCTGGATGAACTCTTACACAATGAGCTGTAGGTACACTTGGCGGCAGAAATAGATAAGTTGTCAGTAAAGTTTAATAATATACGGCATTTTGCTTAGGGATAATGCCGCCAATATTAATAGAATTCTTGTCATGCAAAATCGTGGAGTTAGGGTCATTTATGTTAAGAAGAATAATGATAGACATAATGTTAATACGAACAATTAAAATAAACTGGCTGTTCTTGACAATCGCCTTCACAAAGACACAGATTCATTTAAGGGGCAAATTATACGCTTCAATAATAAGATTCCGGTTGATATTCAAAATTTGCAAGGTTTAAAAGCATAGTAGACTAACTAACACCTTTCAATACAGTCTCAGTGTAATTGGTAATAAAATTCCATAGCAGCTTAGCTCTTACACGGTGTCTTAACGTATTTGAAATAAATATTTCAAATGAGTACATGTTTAATTACAAAGTGCAAGTCCTAGAGTTTCTTATTCATTCTTCTGTGGAGAATCTGTCTCACAAATTAGTGGCAGAGTTTACCGGTCAACCGTGACCATGGGACCTGTAAAGGGCCCGAAACGAAAATAGTTTCATTTCCTATGTGTAACAATCGCGAAAACCTAAGAACTCGATAAATAAAAATATATTTTTGTACGATTTTGACTTTGAACCTAAAATCGTGTAAATTTGTTTTTTTCAAACACACCAACTTTCCAACAATCCAATCTTCCAGCCATTTTTATCGTAGGTCTTAAGTTAGACCAGGTCTGCATGCAATTCTGGCAGATTCCCATTTTCGGAAAAGTCCCTTATGGACTGTTGTGGCTAATCAGGCTTATGGATGGCTGTTAACTATTTAATTATTATAATAACAGTGCTAGAACTATAACGTACTTTGAGTACCAAGGCAACGTAATTAACCCCGGGGCACTAACGCCCAAATCAAAACCAATTTTAAAAAGTTCGTTTCCCGAATTGGTCATACCGGTAATCGAACCCGAGATGACATCTAGAGCCTATGTTAACTGGTAATTAGTTACAGGTTTTTATCTACAGTGGTGTACAAAAGCTAAACCAGAATTCCTATAGCTTTCCACACTATAACGGAGATGAATAATAATGAAACAATACTAAAATTAGATTTGCACTGAGGTCAATATTGATAGTATTGAACTCGGAAACATTAACATTTCGAGGGCGAGTAGGAAGCGGTGCGCGTGCGCACATCACCTGATCGTGATCCAGACGAAGACAATAGGCGATTACGTACTTGCGCATAGGCATCTGCGCATCTTAGCGATTGGTACAAAATAGGGTTTTGTGGGTGGGTGGATTCTATTGCGTTTTTAATTGCTGTAGAAAATTGTCATAACGCAATAGAAGGTTTAGCAGAATTTATTGTAAATAAGATTTAGAAATAAAAATTGAAGTAAGCTATTTCAGAAACAAAACATCACAGCACAAGTACATTAAGCAATAATGATACATAACATAACAGGGAGAAAAAAAAACATTTAACTAATATATACACAAATAACACGAACAAGACGTAAATAGCTACAATATTAAATCTTTAAACTATAAAATGTGCGTGCTTTAGTGTTATAGCAGATCTTGATTAAGTCGCACTAGAAAATGTATTCATGCAATTTCGCTTAGTGCTAGCATTGTTTTATTTATTGGCACATTAGACGGAAATAATAATTAGTAATAACTAAGTATAGTCCTCCTCGAATTTCAAGGCAATTATTGGCAAGAGACAGAGCAGGCCTGAAAGTGGTGTTATCTCATTCCGGAGACAAAAACGCACATTGGCTCGCTGAGACAGAATAGAATAGAATTCGTTTATTTGCCAGAATACAGTAATGATAAAGGTCTTAAATAAAATTAGGTACATTGTATTCAACCTGTAAGCAGATGTACAAATATTAATATCATGTTCGGTTTCTACAGTCAATTGTCCTTCAAATTAATGTAAATTTGCATTTGGAAATTCTTTATTCTTTATTACTATAGAAGCAATGTGTCAAAAGCTGTTTTGTCAATTGTAATTTAAAAGTATGTCCTTGCAACAATTTTATTTCATTTTGACATGTTGATACTTTATGGCAACGAGGTTGGTCCAAAAGATTCATAATTTTTGCTCTAGTCTGCCTTTGATTAATTTCACCACGTGTTTTGAAATATTTAGCATAAGTTTTGACAAATATACAGATATCTCTAAAGTACATTACGACAGCGAAGTAAATAATAATTTAGGTTACAGTAAGATTGAGAAGGTGTGCCAATAACTGAATTTAAAGTGACAATAATTGGGTTACTTCAACTCAAAGTGATTTCGTCTGATTGGCTGCTTTGGACGCTGTGTGAATACAATAACAGTGTGATTGTAATATCTCTATGTAATTTATTGTATATTTAATTACAGATTTACTGAAGACATTTTTATCTAGGTTTTTGAAATTAATTTTGTTCTCTAAATCACAGATAGGTACAGTCAACAGCACATCAAGCTACACATTGACGTATCTTGGTTTTGAATTTCATGTAGTGATAATCATACCAGTTACCTGGCCTCAAACTAAGGAATTCCCTGTAGGTACCATAAATAACAATGCAACTGAATGGTTCCATAGCCGGGTCAATAGCCGGAACACCCAAACTGGAACCAAATTAGAAAAATTTTCTTCTAAAAAATCCCTTTCGCAAGTTGGTCCCTATTCATTCTTACAGATACATTTCAGGCTGAGATAATTTTAAAATCAAAATTAATAACCGCTCAAAACTTATCCCATACAAAACTATCACGATTTCAATAAATTTGTTAAAGCGAAATGAAGCCATAAGGTATCATATTCAACGGTAGTTACTAGCCTACAGCTGTACTGTTTGCCGTCTTCCAAAGTCATTTTCGTTGTAAGTAACCCAATAAGTTTATTTAGAGCCGTTTGTACGGCATGTTGGGTTTTTTGAACAGTCTAAAACGTTTAATATTTAAAATGTTTCAATTTATTTTCAATTATTTGATTGTTATTCCTCAACCTAATTATAAATTTATAGTCGATTAAAAGGTTTTTCTAGTACTACATTTTGGTTGTGACATACATAAGTCAGTACTACCCAACGCCTATGTATTATATATTATTTCATATCTTGTTTAGTTATAAATTTTAACACAGTTAAATTAATAAAAAGAGCACTTACCACGATCACCAACAGTAGCTTTCAGACTCCCAACAATGCTTCCGGTCTTCACATCCTCCTTCAAACGAAAATTGTATCTAGGTTTGTCGAATAACGCAGAACCAACACCAGCCGGTATTACGTTTACATGAACCATAGCTCCTTGCGCTGCTGTCAGCCCTGCACCATCAGTCGCTGATATCTCAAGATCAAATTTTCCATTGCCTTGTAACAACGACGGTTTTGTAACAAATATCTCTCCTGTGCTTCTGTCAATTCGGAATATATCATTGTGATTGTTCGTGATTCTATAAGTAACTGTTCCGAATCTGCCCGAATCAGAATCTGTAGCTGATACAGCGACAATGGGTTCAGTGGATGATATCCTTCCCTCTTTCAAAGAGACGTTGTAGTCCTTCACAGTGAACATTGGTACATTATCGTTAATATCAAGCAGTTGGATCTTCACCATTGCAGTCGTGGACAGGCCCCCTGCGAATAAATAATTGGCATGATTGTCGGTGTATTGTTGTAATACGATGTTTAATTGACAGCTAGTTGATTTATGCCGATGTTGGCCAATGGAAGATAAAGTTATTGTTGACTCTCAACATTGGTGATATTTGAATATTATAAGCAAGTGTTAATTAGCACAACGCTATTGATAATTTAGTTTTGTCGGATTTTTAATTGGAGATGATAATTAGCTCATAATGTCACTTTGAAAAATAATGTTGTCACGTTTAATAATCTATGTAGTAATTGTGTTTAGTTCAGTTTTTACTGAGCTCACTAAAACAAAGTTAGTCAAAAAAAGATTTTTCAGTTCTCAATTTTTTTTTTTAATACTCACAAATTATCAAAAGCCTCAGTGAAGTCGATCTTTTAAGACAACGCTTTGTTTTTATCAAAAACTAGTAACCCCTTAAACTTCTGTTTATTTTCTTTAATTAGAAATTCGTCTATAGTACAGAGAGACACGCACAAACAGTTAAATACACTATTGAAAATCTAATTTTACGATGTCAAGTTTAAGTAGAATTTAAACAATTGGTATCCAAATTTGACAATTTATACTGGTTGAACTTACTTTAAGTTGTAGTTTTGGTAATTAAAAAAATATGAATTTTCAAATTTATTTAAGATCAATATAGTGTACTCTTGCGTGCTGGACTAACAATACCCTTGGTAGGGGATCTGTGCTGTAAATATAGTGCAAAAATAATTACATTTCAAAAAGAAATGAGGAATAAGAGAGGTTTTGCTAATGGATGAAAACTTGTCAACATATTATAATAATATCGTAGTAAACTAAGTGAACGCTTTGTTCCATAAATGGCATTTTGTACAAACCGCGTAGGTAAACTTTAGTGACTAACAGAATAATCTTTGAACTTAATGCGCAAAGGCAGTTTCCTAGCGTAGGATCTTTAAAATATCCAACATAATATTGTGGGAACGCGCTTGCCGCCCGGTCGCTGCGCTTCATTCGCTCCGTGGAATGGCGCAGGCGCAGGTTTCGCTCCGGTTTCAAACGAGACGGTTACCAAGTTATCTATGCAGTCGATTGGAGACCGATTTCTTTAATTGTGCATTTTTATAGCGCCATCAAAGTATTCATTATCAAAAGCATAAAAATCGTATTACAGGTAAAGGAATAATATAATCGAGTAGAGATCAATAAAAAGGACTATGACCTAATATTTCTTCCTAGAAACATAATCTAGTTCCTTTTATAAATGATGATTACAAGAACCTATGTAAGAAATAAAATTCTTCAGAGTTATTCGCATAACAAAATTACGAAAAGGAATCGTATGTACAAAAGAGCTAAATCAAATGTTTAAAATCCCCAACCGCACACATAACTTTGTAATAGTGAGTGAATTTGATTAAAAATAGATTTCTGTTTCACATGTTTCGTGAAATTGCTTTTTATGCAAAATAAAGTTTTATAAGATATTTGTAAACGAGCTTCTAAATTGGACAAGGGTTTGTTGCTAGTCGGGTGTCACATTCTAAAGGAACTTTTATTATAACAAACAATCGAACGTATTGAAATAAAACATATGCACAGGTATATTGAAGAAGTTGTCCGTTGATAGGGAGCTAATGGAATTCCTCAAGGTAGTGTTATTGTTCCATTACTTTACATTATACATAAAAGTAAGTTACCTGAGCTTTATTAATTACATTTAATATATTGTAGTGTATTATTTCTACTTATAATTTTTCTGGTAGAAGGATTGGTCAAAATTAAATTAAGAGTTAATATTAAGCTTAAAATAGCATTTGGATTATTGTGATGAGCATTGAATCAAAATATAACAAAATAGGTAAGACATCTGTTTAATGGCGTCGGTGCTAAAGCTAATGAACTCAACTACAAAAACACATACGTGTTCAAGTCGGCGAGTAATATTAGTCGAAAATTGTGTTCTTTTATAAAAAAAGCAATGAGTATAAAATTATACGAAACATATTGAAAAGTTCAGCTAAGTAGTTTTGCTGTAAAATATATGGCGACGGTACTAAAACTGTACCCTGAGGAATTCCACTCGCAAAGCACAATCGTTTGTAAGTGGTCAAGTGGGATTTGTCCAAAAAAGTGCACGTAATAGTTGCGGCTCCTCGGTCCATAAATCAGGACCAATGGCGGCGGACATATTCGGAATTCATTCCGAACTTCGGCCAACGCTTTATTTCGAGCAATGGTCGGAATTGAAATTTGGTATTGCTAAGTTAGATAGAGAAAGGTGCTATTTATTAAGTTCCCTTATGGGCACTACAGTGAGCAAGTGTGTACATTTAAAATTATACTACAGCCACAATATTTCATTAAAAATTTATACGTTTTTGGTAAGTAATAAAAAGTTACCTTAACGATCAAACACAATTCTGACTTTACGATATAAAATTGTACCTCTTATAGTCTGGTATGAACATGCGAATTTTATTGCAGTTTTAAGTTTCGTGTTTTATTTCTTACCGAGTCTCCTTTTTAGTGCAATGTATCAAGGTTTAATAATGTTCCACTCACGAGTACTTTTTAATATGATTTAATCTCCTACAGTTTGAGTTTTGATAACAATATCCAAACTACAAACATCTTCTACCACTAATTGGATATCTGAATTTTTTTTACCTCTATCAGTAGCAATAACAGGGAACTCAAAATCACTAGTAGCCTCGTGATCTAGTGGCGCTGCTATGCATAGTTCCCCACTGTCAGCTTTCACAGCAAACTGTGGTTTGGCTGAACTGTCGCTGAGAGTGTAGTTGACAATTGCGTTGACGCCGCAGTCCGGGTCCATTGCTGACATCTGTAAAAGAGGTATTAAGGTTAAAGATAAAAATACACTTAATGTTGTAAATAACAATGTATACAATTAGATCGAAAAAGGTTGAGGGCAAAACGAAACAACTTTAAGTATGAATAAATTTCTAAAATTATTTAAAAGATAGCAATAACCTAAGTAAGGAAACTGAAAGAATAATTATAACAACTGTTTAATATTAACGTAGAACGTTTTTAAAACAGAGGATAATTCACAATAATATAAAAGAAGAATAAAAAATCTTTCCTTAATTTCCTTAACCTTCTCAAATAATACACATTAGTAACAAACAAAATGTACAGTTAAATCTAAACAAGAATGAAACAGGTTATGAGTGGGGCTATAGATTGTGATCCCTGCAAAGATCCCAGCATCACTAATCACACAGATATGAAGCCAACGGTGTTTGCTTATTAATCACTAATCAGGTATTAAATGAATAGATTGGTGTGCCAACTGTACTTTGAAACTTGGTATGTAGGTAGAAGATTTGTTAGAAGGTGACGTGTTGCTAATGAAGATGTTTAGTTTTAAGGTGATGTTACAATAATTTAAGTAAACACTTATAGTTGACAAACTATAACGGTAAGTAATATGAAAGAAGCGAGGAACCAGTTGGATCACATCGTGATAACAAGCGACATAATCAACTAGACAAAAGAACACGAATCTACCCTCTGTCAGGTTGTGTCCGTCAGGCCATCAGCCGCCTGCCATACATAGCAAGTCGCCGTCAACAAAGATCGCAACAATATGGAAATAATTGTTTTATATAAAATAAATATACAGTATTTGATAGCATTGAAATTAAAACTAATAAACGTTTATAATTGCTAATTACATCATTAAAAGAGAACCCGTTCTTGCGTTTAGCTTTTTCCACATTATTATCGCCAACGAAAACAAAATCCTTTAAAGGGCTATTTAACAAATTGTACATCTTTAAACATGTATTAACTTTTCAGTGTACTTCGTTTTCGAAAAGTATTATACCGACTGAATGTCACGAACCGAGTCTTTTCGAGTTTATTTATTATCATTGGCTGAAGCTACCTGATTGATGCGAGGCCGACGTTACTAAATTGCATGCAAAAGACCCTTGTTCGGTCTACTTTAAAATGGAGTAAGTAGTTTGTTTATTTCCTTGTAACTTCGCTTCACTGGCACCATATAGTGGTTGGGGCTGCAGGATATATGACTTTGACATTAAAAAAAAATCAAAAACTCGTAATTCCTTTATTTGCCAGTTGTGATATATGTGATTTGGTATAATGTTTAACTGTTCTTTTTACCACATTGTACTTGCCATTTGCCATATGTGACAGACAGGGTGCGAAGTGGTCAAAACGTGGAAGTTAATGAAAAGATTTTGGATAAGCCCAACGAACACACACGTCGTTTTAATGAGCTTAGAAGTTAAATCTGATGCTGGCTAATTCAATGTGAGAACCAACACCATATATGAATGGATTAAATGGTATAAAGATATGAATGGAAAAGGATATTGTATATTGCGTAACTTTTGAAGATAAGTTACACGAGAATAATAAATTATATCGTCGATTACTCTGAACGGTTTAAACTAATGAGTTATTTAATATGTAATGATGAATTTATTGAGAAAGAAAAGAATTTAAATTAGAAGTAGAAATGAGAGCGTTGCACATTACGTATGCTTTATGCCTTGGTGATAGAATGTAGAATAGTGTAAAGAGATAATGATTAGGATAGAAACGTGAATGCTTCGATGATTTGGCTACAAAGCAAGGATAGTTGTAAGTAGAATAATACCATACCAACGTACAGAATGTGGATGGAAGCGTGGAGAAAAGTCGACCTCGGTGTACATATCTCGACCAGATTGAACGAATTATTGAAAAGACAAATGCGAGTAGAGGAAGCCGAAGAGATATGTTGGGAGCATATCGGGGGGCATAATTATAGTTTCAGCCTACTTTAGAAGGAAACAGTAGTAATGGAATGTATGTATGTGGTAAATATCCCACACGATCAAATTAAGTCTGTCATACGAAATGGCGTCCATGCAATTGATGTGTCAATATCGTACGTATGAGAACGTAGTAAGTAACTATTATTTGATTCGAAATTTATAATGAGCTTTTCGATGAAGGATAGTATCAAAACTTATTAGATATATAATGTGAACACTGTCGTTCTTTTTTAAGAACGTAATATTTTAAATTTGATATACGACACTGTCACCTCTACTGTTTTTACATTTTGTCGAATACATAATCGTGTGGACAAATACGTTTTCCCTATTTACAAAGCTACGAGGGATAACAACGAAACCTGCACGTCGAAGAAGTTTCACAACACTCAGAAGACCCCTGCCCAGCAGCGGGACAACTAAATGGGTTCATGATGATGATGAAAGTAACCATTCCTAATGTACCTGATTAATAAAAAAAATACATTAAAGCATACACCTAAAATGAGCCATCTTTCTAATAAGTGACAACTTTATAAGTCAGTATTTAAAAGCACCATACGAAAATGTCAGTTTGAAATAACATAATCTACACTTACGGGCGAAAAGCGGCACACTCGCAATACCATCAACTTCAAATATGACCGCTACTGATAATGCTACAGGTTGTGTCGATATCGAGTACTTAAGTTGTTTTATATTGAATCTACCAGGTTGACACGGCAGTGTAGGACGCAGTGTCATATATCGTAAACAGTAAGGCATGGTTTAATAAAATGATGTTAAGTTTACTTTTTAGTATTACCACGACAAATAAGTAACGTCAGTATGTTTGTTTTTTATTTGTGTTCTCTTTTGTTTATTTTATTTTTATTAAGATAAATGAAGAATACGGACATACCTAAGCTGGTTTTGTAACACCGGTAGCTGCTGAGATTTTAAGTTTAATTTCTATTATTATCAGGGGAATAGTTAGGTTGTGATTTCTTAATAAAGCAAACAAAAAAATTGTTCCATAATTGATGACTAAATAAATATAGAAATAAATAGCAAAATGCCATGTTTTCGACTATGCTTAAACAATGCAAACTAATTTTATATCAACAGGAAAAAACTGACAGCAGTTCATAGATGAGGATTTGACTGCCTCCGTGGCCGAACGGTGTGTGAGTGCAGGGCTATGTTCAGTGTGCGCTTGAGTGCGTGTGTGTGTGTGTGAGAGAGAGAGATCTCAATGTTAAAAAAAGATCATATTGTCTGGATCATATATTTATATAGTGGGCGCTGAATGAGGAGATCCCGGGTTCACTTCTTGGTAGGACCAAATTGGGAAATAAACTTCTCTAAATTGAGATCTTAGGTTTTCGCGATTTTTACACATAGCAAATGCATAGCAGTCAGGCAGTCAACCGTGACCATGGAACCTGCAAAGGGCCCGAAACGTCGGTTTGTTTGAAAAAACAAATATACGCGATTTAAATCCGGTAAAATAGTTTCATTCTCTAAATTGGTTCTGGTTTGGGTGTTCGTGGGGAGTGCTCCATTGTGAATTCCGTTGCATTGATATTCATAGTACAAGGAATTCCCTAGTTTGAGTCCAGTCAATTCGTGTAGATGTCTGATTGTCTGGCATCTACTATATTATCAGTTGACATTGTGTTAAAGTAATATTTCTTGTCTGTGTTAAAAATGTTATCTAACTGGACTGCAATGTGTAACGTATCGGTGCACTATGAAGCTAGAAACAGCAGATGAAATCTATTAGATGGTGATTCCCGGTGTACGGTCAAACCAAATACGGTTTTTGTTACACCGTTAGCAGCATAGCTTGCCTTTTTTGTACCTATGTCTTAATAAATATAAATAATATTAATAAACACAAAACTGTGTAAGAAAACAAAATAAAATACAATTATGTCCAAAAAAAGATTAAATTAGAATTTCTGCTTTTGAACTAACATTACTACTTACATATATATACCTTGGCCCGTTAACGGCTACCTCACTATAAAAGATAAGGTCGCCACAATAAGATTTATTGCACACTCTCGGACACAGAGTAGTGATTTTTTTATGAAATCAAAAGGTGTTACTTTTTAAATGTCCGTACATCTCAATTTAGCACTTTTTAGTGCCGCACACGCTCTTTGCGTATGAAATTTTGGAGATTATATTTTAAAAAGGACGTCTTGTTTCAATTGTATAAATAAAAATAATACAACGTAATACGTGGCTCAGTTACGCGAGGGACAGCCCGCGTTAAGGCGACAAAATGTCGCTGGGTCAAGACCAGCCGGATCAAAGGAATTTTTCCTCAAGTTTGTTTTGATATTTATCTTAAACAATAACAAAAGAATACAATACAAAAAAGACAAAAGTAATGAAACCATTTTCTCGGATCTAAGTCGCGTAAATTTGTTTTTCAAACAAACCAACGTTTCGGGCCCTTTACATGCCTCATAGGCACGGGTGACTGTCATAATGTACAGTCAATGCCCTAAAATACCTAATACGTTTTGGTTCTGAGAGTCTTCTTACGCATTCAGCAACAAAAAATGTAAACGAATTCCAGTTTTGTAGTTGATATTTGTATTTATATACTTAATGACTTAAAGATCAAATCGGCTTGAAAAGTTCTTTAAACTTTCGTTCACTAATGATACAATAAGGAAGTCATGGCAAAATATGTTTTTCGGATCACAGGTTACGTTTGTTTAACGCCTTTCTTCACACTGATCTGCTCAGAACCATATAGACGGTTGGTGCGTCATATATTTTAGGGTTTACAGAGACAGCTTTCATCGTTTATTATATTTAGGTACAATTGATATATTCCGTTTAGCAGTCTGGAGCAGCAAGTGATCAATGAAGACTACAGAAACAATTTATAGATTCAAGCGTTAATTTGCGGAAGTTCATAGCAATAAAAATGAAATTAAGTTACCCTGTTACACAGCGAACGCCAATTAAAAATAATCTTAACTGCATGAAAAAAAAATCAATACGAGCTCATCTATTTTGTTCAATTTAACTT